CAAGAAGGCTGCTTGCTAGTGAGGAAGGTTCCATTCAGAAAGCTCAACTGCAGGGTGAGTGGCCCAACTTCAGTGGGAGCTGCATCAAACGTCCAGCTTTTGTTCTTCCTACAGGCCCCGAGGCAGCTGGCTTCAGCAGCCTTCCTGTACCAGTCAGGGGCAGCCATGCTCATTGGTGAAGAGCAGCAGCCAAGTGCCCGAGTGATCTGCAGCCTGGGAACCGACACAGAGCATTCAGCCAACAGCCAAGGCAGCCACGAGACTGGGGATTCGGGAAGGTTCTCCCACGAGTCCAATGAGGAGCTGCACCCCCCTCCCGCCTTTGGGGCTGCAGATTCCTTCCCAGGCAGTGACTCGCACCTGACAGCCAGCTGTCCTGTTCCTAGGCCTCTCCAGTTGCCGCTGGCTGCAGTGGCAATGGGGCATCTTGCAGGGAACAATGAACTGGGAGGCCAAGCTTTCCGTGGGATGCCCAAGGACTAGCAGGCAACCCGTGTTTCCACTGCCTCTTTGTATTTTCCTTCCCTAGTGAATGTCCAGTGTGCAAAAATGTGAAAGGAGAGCAGGGCGGCTCTCCTCTCTGTCACTGGAGCAAAGGTGACCCCTTTGCTTGGATATCTACCTCAGCTTGCCAGGGCAGACGCCAAAGGAAGCAACCGCACTACCTCATTGGCTTGTCTGGAAGCATCACTCGTGGCTGCATGACTGGTGATGGCTTCCTGGCAGCCCCAAGTCCTTTCCCTGAATGTATGGAGAGCGAGCGTGTGTCCCTGTGAGCCAAGGAGTTGTGTTTGGAAGCATAGGGGGTTGCCCCACTGGCCTCTGGAGGAGCAATCTCCAAAAGAGGGCCACTCCAGGGGCCAGCGGGGCAGAGGCTGCAGGCAGCCCTGGGGGCCTCCAGGGGCCACCCCAGCCTCAGGGTCCCACCTGCCTTGTCAGTGCCTTCTGGGGTCCACAGTGGGGAGACTGGGAGGCTTTCCGCCTCTGCTGTGTTTCCTTGGCCAGATGATTCCCCTAAGTGTCCTGGTGATAATGGTGCCTTCCATTAGATAGTTTTGAACTCACTGCTTGCCTTACTTATGAAGTTTCTCTGGAGCCCAGAACAAGGCCTTACATGTGCTCTGCAGGTCAGCTTGGGGTCCCCCATTTGTTTCCCTGGCTGGTCCTGAGCATCGGAACCCATAAGCCTGGGACACGGCCCCTAGGCAAATGCTCGGATAGAGCCCCTCTCCCCTAAAGGTGCAGCGGAGCACCCTTTTTGTTCCCACACAGCTCCTGTTTTATACTACCTCCTTTTAAAGTTATTGTAGTGTTATTGTTTTCCTGTGCTCAGGGTGCAGTTTATTTCTTTTAAGCTGTCTTGTGTGTTGTAAGGCAAACTGACAGGGTATCTCATGTTTTGTTTTGTTCTGAAGTTTATGAGTGAGCGAGTGAATGAGATGATGAGCAAAAGAGAGAGGTATTCACCGAAATTGTAAGCTGACTGGTACAGTTCCCTTCTGTTTCCATTCAGAAAAGGGTTGGCCAAACATCCCAGATGTGACTCCCAAATGGGTCTCTTGCAGGTGACAGGAAATGTCCATGTAGGACATGAGGCTGGTTGTGGATCTGAATGGCGGTGGGTTTAGTGAGAGGACCGACGGCCTCCCTCCCAGCTCTCCCTGCCACACTTTGGGGCTAGCGAGCTGGCCTGTGGCCTTGTAAGAGCCTAGAGGCTGCTGTGTCGGCTGAGAGCTCAGGCCAGGCCAACATTGTCTTTACCACCACTTTTCGGATGCAAAGGCTTTAAAGAAAATAATGATCTTGTACCAAAGAATGTTCTGTGGAAAGGAGAAGAAAGCTGCATATTTACCCCAAAAGATAGTTGAAATAGTTAAAACTGCAGCATCAAATAATTTTAATGTCTAAGTAGATATGAACCCAAAGGAGCCGAGAACCAAATGGAGATTAGGAGTGGACTACGTGGTTTTACAATGTGACCTTTAGTATTGTTGCTGCCAGAACTCTTTTATAAAAGTTGAAGTAAGACCCTATTCAGCTCCAAAGACTTCAAGTGTAATTTTGTTTTCCTTTTCTTCAGCAGTTCTATTAAGTAACAGAAAGAATATTTCTGAATGTTCATTTATACTGATTGAAGAAAAGGAAACTCATTTGCCAAAGATTGATTGGGAGGCCTTGTTGGTCAAAGCTGAGCCTGCCACACCACCAAAGGATGTCTGCTCGGGTGGGCAGCTTGCTGAGTTTTGTAGCAATACGCTCCAAGGGCTGCTGTGCTGAGGGGGGGGGGCTTCTCCAAATACTTATTTGCTGTGAATATTGACATTTTTGGACCTCTTCTGGGGATAGTGAGGCAGTGCCGGGGCATTCTAGTTTTGGCAGTTGGCAGCTGAAGGAATGCCCCTCCCTTGAGCCCTTTGGAGGAGCCCTCGGGATGGAGGAGCCTGCCCTCACTCAGAGGTGGGGCCGGAACAGAGGCATCCTGGTCCAGGAAGGTGCCCTGATGGCCTCCTTGGGTGTTTCTGCTTCTGTAGCGGGTCCTTTTCTCCTGAGTTGCTAGGAATGCCAGCTCAAGAGAGGAAGAGGGATTTGCAAGTTGGAAATAGTTTGTGTCCAAGGTTGCAGCAAATGAAGAAAACCAAAGATATTTAAGGCTATCTTGGCGTAGAGGCCTGTGCTAGGTAGGTAGGTGAGCTTTCTTTACTTTTGTTGTTGTTTTTGTTTTGCTTTGAATTGGCATTATCTTTTCAGGTGACACCCCCCCACACACACACACCTTTATCCAGAGAGAGGGGATGAATGATCTTTCCTTCATCTTAGGGCAAACCTGGGTTAGCGTGGGGTAGGGGTTGAGGGTGACTCTCGCCAGAAGGAACCTTTGGATGCTTCCTAGCAAAATGGCTGCTTTTCTTCCATCTTCTTTTGAATCCCCATCAGTTCCTCTAAGACATCCAAGAAAGCATTTGGAAACATGATTTGAATTCCAGCACCCCCTCCTCCCAGTGCATAGGCTGAGCTTGTGCCATCAGCAACCTGAACAGGTAGAACAGTTGGTTCACGTGGAAACACCTGTAACTAGGTCCTCCATCCTGAAGAGCAGAAAAACGCTCCTTGAATGAAGGCCACTTTTCCAAATATCAGTGCAGGGCATATTGTCCATGCAGTGCCAAGCAAAGAGCCAGGTCAGGTGCACAAGGTGTCTGTATGTGCAATTTGCAGGCAGTTGAATGTGACTCTTCCCCCTTCCCCAGGCACCTGGGGGACCTCCTGACTTGTATTCAGGGACACGGCTGAGCTGTGTGGATTCAGCCACAATGACCTGCAAGCATTGTCATTTGCGAACCTTGCCAGTCATGGCAGGTTCAGCAAACCTTGTTTCCATTCGTTTGGGAGACCCTTATCCCAGGTTTCAGGTTTAAGACGCCTGTCTTAATTTTGTTCTGAACACTGTCCTGAAAGTATTCATCTGTTTAAAAAGAGGTTTATGTTTTTCCATCTCATCCTCGGGGTGCTTCAGAACCATAGCTGGCATCGTCACTGCAAGATTTGCTCTGTGTTAACATTTCTTTGGGCACAACTGTTTTGCTGCTGTTTTTACCCTTCTTGTTCTGAAGCACCTCCTCACCCCGAAAGCAGGGCAGTGAAGCCTCAGGAAAAGGGGCTTGCACACCTTGACTGCATTGCCTTGATCTCAAAAATGGGTGGCAACACCACCCAACTCTCACTTGCACCTTGGGGTAATTCACCAAATTCACTTTCCATCAGTTTGGAAGAGCAACTAAAACCAGAGCAGGAGGGAAATGTTGTCCCTGAAGTATCTGAAATCAATCACATCTGAGTTCAGTTGCGCATTGGAGCAAGTGTGAACCTCATTACTGGGGTGTACTTTGCTGATTCCTGACTTCTTTTGGGCAACTTGGCACATGGAACTTCCACCTTCCCCAGGTGGGAATTACCCCCTCCCCCAGGGGAAGGCCATCTCAATCGACACACCACCTGCTGCAACAAGCCTGGCACTTTGCTAAATGTCTGTTTAAAACACTTCCCTATATTCTTGAGGATGTGAATGAATTGCCAGTGTGGGAGTCCAGCGAGGCTTTTTGGCCGAGGGTGTTCTGGCTCCTGCCACTCCTGCTGTTTTCTTGAAGGGCCGTCAACTGCTGGCCGGCCAACGGGGGAAACGAGCTGAATTGTATTAATTTTATATTTGACTCAGGGGATCAGCTCTGTGAACTCTGTTGTGTGAGGACAGTTGGTGATGGTCTGATAATGAATGTACCTTTTAATATGTCTTTTTAAAACATTTTGCTTATGTGCTTTTTTTTTTAAACCTTTTGATAGCATAGTGAATATTTAACTGTGTCCTTCCTCTTTCCCCTCACCCGTTCCCAGGCTTATCCTGATGCTAGCACAAACGTCATGCCAAAAATGAGTAGAAAGTTAAATGCCAAAATGTTTATGAAACTGCTGTCTTATACAGATGGATTGCACAGTTAAAATAAAAGTTTCCTGTAGTAATTGGCGGCCTGTTTCCCTTTGAGGGCTCCATTCTTTTTTTCCCAACTCTTCCGCGGCGCAGATAGCGGCGGGACCCCGGGGACGGGAGGGCGCGGGAAACAAACAACAAGGACAGAACCTACGCATCGCGGGAAGGGGGGGGGGTACGCGCCGGGACGCCACCTACCCCCAATTCCGGCCCACTGCCGGTAAGTGCCTCACTCGTAGGCAGCCTTCCGAAGCAGTGGGCGGGCAGGGGCTCTCGGAGTCCGCAGGCAATGGAGCGCGGGTGGGGAGTTCGGGAGGTGCGGCGCTGTCCTCCCTGGACGCCCCCCGAGGCTCCAAGCGGCCCGGCCGGCTGAACAGCAGCTCCTGGCGGGGGCGGCGCGAGAGGAGGGGTCCGCCCCGCCGGCGGAGGGGACGGGCTGCGCATCGCGGTCGCCGGGTCGGTGGCTGCCTGGGTGCTGCGCCTGCCCGGTGGGGCGGGCCGCCATGCTGCGCCGGCAATGTCCGCGGAACACAAGAAGGAGCCCGGCGTGGCGCTCAAGAGGCCTCGAGGTGGGTGCGGCGGCGGGGCCGGGGGGAACGGGTGCTCCCGGAGCGGCGATACGGAGCTTGCGCTCGGCTCTTGCAGGGGTGGACGGCGGCGTGGAGGGCTTGGCGGGCGCCGGGCTGCAGCTGGGCAGCCCCGACAAGAAGAAGCGCAAGGGCGGCGCGCAGGTAAGCCGGGGCGGCGGCCCGCTTTCCCGCCGGGCCGGGCCGGCGTTGGGGGGGCGGAAGGCGGGTGCTGGGAGACGGTGCGGGGGCCGCCCTCCCGCGGGGCTCAGGGGTCTGCTCTCGCCCCCCGCAGGGCACCCCCTTCCCTGCGCCTCCCTCCGAGTACGCCCCACCGCCCAACCCGAGCGCCGAGCACTTGATCGCTGCCAACCCCTTCGACGACAGCTACGCCGCCGCCGCCTACAAGCCCGCGAGTGGCCCCTACTTCGCCGGCCCCGCGTATTCCGGCTTCGGGGGCTACAACGCCTTTAGGATGCCGCCTCATCTGCTGCCCAGACTGGCGTCCCCGTACGGGGCGCCCGCCTTCCCCCTCCGCCACCGGCCGCCCCCCTTCGGCCAGAGCCCGGCAGGAGCGGCCTTCTGCAGGGCTCCAGCCGTGACCTTCGGGTCGCCCGAGAACGCGGCAGGCTTCGGCCACCAGCCCTCCTACAGCGCCAGCCAAACCCTGCCTGGGCCCGGCCTGCCCTTCCGGCCCAACCCCGGTGAAAACTTTGGCCACATACCCTCGCAGAACGCAGGCCCTATGCCTCCGTCTGCTGGGCATTTGGGGCCAGGCCCCAACCCTGCCTTTGGCAGCTCCCTGACGGAGCCCAACCACTCTTACGCTCCGGGGCTGAACAGCTACAATCAGGCAAAAGCTTTCCCAAAACTGGGGGTCAGCAAGCATCAGCCTCCGCCCCAGCAGCACCACCCCACCTCGCAGGGAGCAGAGGGTCTGCTGAGCTCAGGAACCACAGATGTAAAGGCCAGCCGGCACCAGCACATCCCAGTGGGCACCCCAGAGAGGGTCCTGCCGAAGCACATGGAAAATCTGAACAGTGCCCATGTGAATGGGACCCCCGCTAAACCCTGCCTGCCCCATGGAGGTCCTGAGGGAAGCAGCTCAGAGAAGGATGGTGGGGGCAGCAAAATCCCGCTCCACCCCCTCCAGCACGACCACCTGCTCTCTGAGCCAGTTTACCCATGTGGGATTTGTACCCACGAGGTGAATGATGATCAGGATGCCATCCTCTGTGAAGCCTCCTGTCAGAAATGGTTCCATCGGATCTGTACAGGCATGACGGAGTCGGCATATGGTCTGCTGACCACAGAGGCTTCGGCAGTCTGGGGCTGCGATACTTGCATGGCAGACAAGGACATTCAACTGATACGCACCAGGGAGATGGTGGGACCATCGGCCCTGAACACCGACGTCTGAACAAATCCCCCCCCCATGGTTTGTGAAACTCCATCTTTCCACACATTTTGTTCTATGCCCAAGTGCATTAAGTTTTCATCAGAAGAACTTGAGGTCCTTTCTTCCTGACAGTGAGGTTTAGGCCTACAAAAGGGCTGCTTTTGTAAAACTCTTCAGTCTGCAGATGTAGTGGAGGAACCATAATGTCACAATATATTTTCAGTACCTGTCACTGTCTTACTCTGTTTCTGCGCTTTCTCCAGTTGAAAAAAAACAAAGCAGTTGTTCTACGGGAACAACTGGGAAATGATTTGTATGTGAGCTGGAATTTATCTAATGAGGGTAACCCGGCTAGTCTTTTTGAATTCTACTGCTATTTTTATAGTGCTTATATTTTATAGTGCTTATTTCTGATCACATTAGCATTATGTACAGGGTCTTTCTCTTTCTCTCTCATCTCTCTCTCTCTGTCTCGCTCTCTCTCTCTCTCACACACACACACCCTGGCAGGTAATAATTGAGTGTGAGTAACCATGGTTACCAGCCATGGGGGGGGGGAATGGTACCAGCATGATTGCGGAGTTTTATCCTGGAGATTAAGATTAGGAGAGGCGACCCCACAGAAGCTTCTTGAGAGGAATAGCAGCAACCAAATGGCCACCATCTGTGGGAGACGGGCTGCATCAGCCCAGTGGCCATTTTTTGGAAACCATCTTGAGCATTTGGAGGGGACTTGGATTCTCAGCTGCTTGCCTAAGGAAAAGTGGGTGGAAAACTGGCACATGATGCCAATTCTTTTGTGCCTAAGTTGGATGGGAACATTCATACTGTTTCCCTCCTTGAGGGAATCTGGTTGGCCACCCCAGGCAGTGGGAAAGTTCCCCAGGTAGCAACTACCACAGCAATACAGCTGTGCAGATGAATCCAATTCTAATTCTAATATCTCCATTTAGCAAATGGCAAGATGCCTTCATGACTGAAGATCAATCCAACAATAAACATGAATGAACAAATGAACACTACACTAAATATTTGTTTTCCTTTAGTTTGTCTTGGAGATAAATCAGAATGGATCTGTATCTCTGGGCTGGAAACAATTGGAGCAAAAATAATTTGGGCTACTTAAGCCAGAAGTAAGTGATGGAAGTCAACTTAGAAATCTAGTAGGTATCTCAAGAGATTTTCTGTTGTAATTCCAGGAGCTTCCATGCTCCTGGAATTTGGGGAAGGACAAACACCCCTTCTTGTGACTAGTTCTCCCCCATTCCTGGTTCAGGTGTCTGTGTAGCTTTAAAACACCTGGCCATCTATTAGCTGGTCCAAAGTAGAGTCTCAGAGCAGGCAGTTTTGCTGCTGCTGCTGATTCTACAGATCTGGCCCTGTGCTCCCCCCCCCCAACACAGAAGCCACCCAAGTTGAGAGGAAAGTACACAACTTGTGAACCCCTTTCCCTTTTTCCCATCTGTCTGTGCCCTAATTATGTGTAGAATAACACTTCACACGTTTACAAATTGTGGGGATGTTTAAATACCTTTAATGTGGGACTTTAGTCCTGAGTTATTTTTTAAAAATAAAATCAGTGACTTACGTTTTTCATTTTATTTTTAATAGGAATTTTGCTATCCTTCATGCTTAAATGTGTACCTTGTTATATATAATAGAGCCTTGCTTGCTAGTAAAGTGTAACATACATACTTGGCAATGTGTCTTTTCGGTTGAATGTGATTTAATTACTGTTTCATATTAAAACTTCTCTTATGTATGCTTACCTATACCTATTTTGGGGATATCAGTTGAGTAATTTTTATACAATCTCAAATGTGTTCCACATTGGTGACATTTATTTTTACAGCAACTTTTAAAATAAAGAACATGTCTGAAATAACACATGCAATAGGACTGTGATGCGTGGCAAAGTTGATGTATGTAATTCAAATTGGAATCGAGTTCCCAGACTTTGTCCGTTATTGTTCCCTTAGTACGAAATGAAATTACTATGTAATACAAATGATTTCATATCATAGTGCCTGTGTGAGCTACTCTATAGTATAGGAATGACGTTTCTGTTTCCATGTTGATGGATGGCGAGCTGAGCGGACCTCACGCCAATGATTAAACCGGTTTTTGATGTATTTTGTCGTTCGTGGAATTTGTGTCCGCTCTGATTGTCCTCTTCTGGGAAACGGGTGCCGCAACACCGTCCGTTTCCCTTCAGCGACGGCGAACGAGCACCGGCCCGGGACACTTGGCCCGCGAACGGACAACTGACTACAGCGGGCCCGAGCAGGCACACGCGGCTGGAGCGACTTCCGGCGGAAGTCTGCGGGAGGGACGGCGTTCCCGGCAGCCCTCTCGCCCAGCGTCCTGGCAACGGCCGCCATGCCCGTCTGGGTGCGCGACTTCAGTTGGGAGCAGACGGCCGAAGCCGTGCGCCTGACCGTGCCGCTGAGGGCCGCCCGCCGCCATGGCGTCTTCTGCACCGAGCGGTATCTCAAGGTGGGCGCGGGGGGCGGCCCGGGGGGCGGTGCCCGCCGGCGGCGGACGCCATGTAACCCGCTGCTGCCCGCCTCCCGCAGGTGAACGCGCCGCCGCTGCTTTTCGAAGCCGCACTCTTCGCCCCCATCGACGCCGAGCGCAGCCGCGCCGAGATCCGGGATGGCTGCGTCATCTTCACCTTGCTCAAGAAGGAAGCGGCCCCGTGGGCGTCCCTGCGGGCGGAGGACGGTGAGGGCCGGGCTGGGCCGGGAGGCCTCCGCTGCGGGTGGGGGTCCCGCCTAAACCCTGCCCTGCAGCCCGTGAGGCCGCTTTCTCTCTCCTGCCCCGTACCTTTCCAGCCGGCATGGCTTTTTCAGGGGACGAAGCAAAGATGCGGGAAATTCGTGAGGAAGCCGTCCGCCAAGCTCAAGAGGAGGCCCGAGCGAAAGCAGCGGCGAAGTCTGCAGAGAAACGGGAACGCGGCAGACTTGCTCTGGATGCAACCATCAAGGTAAACGGCCCTCCTCCAAAGAGATAAAGCACAGCTAATGGTTGTTGTTAAAGTCCGCCTGGTTTGCCTTCCAGCCTTAGGATTCTGAGCATCCCAAGCCTCTTGGTCTGTCTCTTTCCTCCTTCCTTTTCTCTCCTCTCCCCCCAATTATGTCTGGCCTTTCTACTTTATGAGCCATGGAGCCATCTCTTCAGAAGTACCATTCCTCAAATAAGGGTACTTTAATTACAGGCGGAGATAATCTTCGTCCAGCACTTTACCATGCTGTTATGTCTAAGCTTTGCATCTTGTTGGCCTTGTATTGTCTTGTCTGAACCCCCATTGATTCTTTTTCTTTCTCAAACCATGGCAGCTTCATTCCCTGGCACATCTTTTGGTCTTTTTCTTATTGCAACTCTTCTTAAGTTTGGACCAACTGGCCTTCTATTCTTTCTGCAACAATTGAATTCTAATTCCCCTTGTCCCACTTGTTTCCCCGCTTCTGTTCATAGGTCTCAGCCTCAAAGTTTCTCTCCACTAAACTTGGGTCCTCCCTTCTTTTCTTCCTTCTCACTCACCTCTTTTCCATTGGAGTGGAGCTCTTGCTTTTCCTGTCACCCATTGGATGGGTTATCAATTCTGGTGAACATCCAGTCTCCACCTACTTCACTCTTACGTGCTAGCAATGTCTACGTATATGTATATGCAACTCAGAGTCATTTGCGATTGGAGCAACCCATAGGCCTATTAAAATTAATAAATAAAAGGCTAATATGAAAGGCTTGTGGAAATGAGGAGGTATTATACTATCTGTAGGTGAATGAAGAATTATAATTAAAACTACTTTAGCTGTTCATCACCATTTGCTGTGAGAAATCACTTCAGATACATTTCTGAAAATCTATATTACGTTCTGATGATACTGTGGAGAATACTGTGGAGAAGAGATGCAGGTGGCTTTGAGTTTTATGGGACAGGCTACTCCTCTAGTTCTAAATTCTGCCTTATATTTAACTTCCCTGTGGCCTTCTGAAAACAGTGTCTCTGAAAGTAGGAATCTTAATTACCTGCCTGATAAGAAATCAATAATGAGGAAACTTGCCCCTTAACAATAAATAATTCCAGAATGAATGTCCTATAATTCAAACAGCTAGAAGAAGCAGAAAGAAAAAGAATAGAAGAACTAAAAGAACAAGAACGGGAAAAAGCCACTGAAGAGATTGAGGTGTGGAAAAGGCAGAATAAGATGCAAAAGAAAGTATGTTCTAAGTTCCGGTTGCCAGATAAAAATACAGAAGTCCCCAGAGAAATAAAAGAATGCCAGAACTTGGAATCTTTTGCTGGAAAGGGAGTGTCCACATCAGGAGCATTAACTAAAGGTATTGATGTTCTCATTATGTTACCATATGGACATTGCACTTTCTTTCATGGGACACTGGAGTTTTTTTGCTTTGCTGTGGCTGTTTGTATTTATTTAAAATATTTTAGAAAATATTAAAAGCCTCCCATGTTGAATTTCAGTGTACAGATTCACAACGTATAATGTGAACTAACCATAACCCTTTCAAAAAACCACAAATACTATTCAAAAGCATTTTTCAAACAATGCTGAACAATTACCGTAGTGCCTTATTTTGTCAGCCCGAGGAAAGGGTTAAAGACAAAGGCACTTGCAGGCATTCAGCCTCTGAACTCTGCTTCATGGTCTGCAGTGATATGACTTTGGGGAAAACAGACTGAGGGTGTGATGGTTACATATACAAAAGCATGTTTTAAACCTCAGCAATAGTAAAAGTGTGGCAAAGAATCTCAGTCTGTCTTCTCCCTAACTCACTATAGTGTTAAGAGGGAGAATGGGGAGAACCTGGCTGGGATACATTCAAGATTCTGTTTCTGAAGCTTATATCAATGAAATAAGCATTCAGATTTCTGGGATCTGCCTCAAAAGGCTGGCATGATACAAGTGTACACCATCAGCTCCATATTATTTTTTGTGTTTTTCCTCCATCTACCTTTCTATATCTGCAGACATCTGCCTTATAAATATCAGAAACAA